ATTTTGATTCAAGAATTAATAAAAAAATCCCTTTTTTCTGATTTATTGCTTCCATATTTGTCTCTAGAACGAATATATTTCAAAATGTGGCCTCCTGTATTATAATTGTTGACCTGTTTTTTAATTTTTCCTGCAAATCATTGTTTCAAAACATTGTTTCAAAACATTCAGAGTGGCTCGTTTTCAACTCAAATAATTTGTAGCTCCTGAACTATAAGCTTCAGAACATATGTTTTATACTTTGTTGAAATCTGCTCAGCATGTATCATCTGATGATACGAAATAATATAGGGTCAAATGTCAAAATATGTCCCCCTGTATACTATTATTGACGTGTTTTTTAATTTTTCCTGCAAATCAAAGCTATCGAAAGCGCTCGTATATAATAAATCGTAGTTATAAAACTTCAAATCCTTTTTGTGGCATATATTAAAATACTGAAAATAAAGGAAAATTAGTTGCATAACCATATGAGATGACGCAACTTCTGCAAATCGACATTTTTGAAATAGACGTCAATGGAGACATATTTGAATGTAGGTATGCAGTGTGATTAAACATTTCAGACATAGACCGTCCATGAAACTCAAATTAATCAATTTAAAATTTTTGTGATATTGTAAAATGAAGTTGTAATTATTTATCTATATTTCTATTCTATAATTATTTATCATCAAAAAAAACGTATGAAAAAACCACATAAACTAGGATGGTCAATTCTTAATTTTATATTTGTGGGGGGCTGCCAGGTCAGTCGGTTATACTTTGGCGGATCGATTTTTGTCTTCAGACTCTAGCAACTATGCTTAACATGGGGCGCGGAGAAGGGATGATAAGGGACTAGAAGGGACCACCGCAGCTTCCAGCAAGATTCAGTTTTCAGTATTCATTATTTGATTCAGTATTTGACACAATTATTGACATTATTGCTTGATCTATTCGCGGGTAGATGGCGCTGTATGTAACCTCCTTGATAAATCGATATTATTGCTTGATCTATTCGCGGGCAGATGGCGCTGTACGTAACCTCCTCTATATAATTCGAACCCACTTTACATGTATTTCTTCATCTGAAAAAAGTATTTTTTTTATCAACATGCGCCCCTACTGCCTTATTTGTAACCCTCCTTTGCACGCCTGCTGCCTTGGGCTTGGTAGCTGATTTTCAGGCTCCCTCTCCGGAATCGGAAAATATCAATGGTCATTTTTCTAAAAAATATACGGCTGATTGATCCCAAAGTTGACATAAAATAAATATTGTTCAAAAAGACTAAAAAACACGGTTTTATAGCATGCGAAACTATAAAGTTAAAAATAATTTTCTTAAATAAGCTCAAAACAATAACGAACAAAAAATACTAGTATTATTGCGAGAAAAGCGTGGGCGCTATGTGCCATATTTTTTGTGTATCAAGCGCCGGTCGCTTTTTTTACAATAATACTAGTAGTTTTCGTTCGTAATTGTTTTAAGCTTATTAAAAAAAAACTATTTTTAACTTTTCAGTTCGATGTTCTTTGAAAGCCTGTTTTTTAGTTTTTCAAACTATATTTATTCATTGTTAGGGTTACAGTTATGAAAATGTAAACATAGTTGCCTGTCCTCACATTTTGCCTACTCAAATACTTCCAACGCTGCATTAATAGGTGTTTTCTGTATCAACTACGAAACAACTATTGTAATATTTATAATCCGGAATATTTTTGAGTGAGCAGAGTTGAAGCAAGGGCGGATTTAGGTCCAAATTTATTGTATATATTACAATACGCATTTGAACTGTTTTGACTGTTGATGTCAGGTGGGTAAATTCCCCCATTACCTTCCCCCATGAATTCAAGTGACAGTGAATTTGTTCTTCAAAGGTTATTTGGAGATGAAACATTCAAAAACCACTTAAACAATGATTAAATTGAAAATTCTAATGAAAAAATAAAAAACGAAATTATTCCTTGTTGTAAAAAATTAGGAAAGAAAATTTAAAAGAACAATTCTAGCAAGCAGGACCTAATCATGAAAAAAATGTAATGTAATCAATAACAATATAAATGGATGTAAGCAATGTAATCAGAATATCAAAGAGATAGCATTTTTAAATGGTTCAATACTAATCAATTAAAAGGACATAACGAATGAATTTAATTCCTTTTTCTCAGATATTGGCTCAATTTTATCAAAAAAAAATCATGACCAGACTGAATATATTTCCATCTTCTTGTAAATCTTTGTTGCAAAAGGACATAACGAATGAATTTAATTCCTTTTTCTCAGATATTGGCTCTCAATTTTATCCAAAAAAATCATGACCAGACTGAATATATTTCCATCTTCTTGTAAATCTTTGTTGCAAAAGATCAGGTATGTTTTATAAAATTCATTGTTACAGAGTCCTGAAGATGAATTTAATTGAATTCGAAACGTTGGCAGGAAATCAATTGTTTTGTAAGATAATTTGATCCTTTTGCCCAAAAAACCTTTCTAGAAATAATTTACTCAATCATTATATCAGAAGACGAAAAGTGCAATCGAATGTAACACAATGAGACATCTTAAATCCTTAGCTTGCACAAGTTTCAATTTTTGAGAGTGTCATTCGAAAGGAACACAGCTGGTTAACGTTTATCCCCATTTTGAAGCATTTAATGCACTTGCGGGGCGGTTAAAAACATGTTTTTTATTTGGATGATATATCACCTGCACATTAATTGTATGTTATATTGGGTGTTACCATAAGTATGGAAACATAAAAAATTAAACGATTTGTGGATACAACACTCCAAAAAGGGGGCAAACCACAGACACGTGTTTCTGGCTATTGGCCTCATCAGCGCGGTACAGCCAAGTGTAAAGATGGGCAACATTGTCGAAAGCAGGAAACAACACATACGCACGGAGTCAACAGCAGGAGCCAACTGCACATTTGTGGTTCCAGTTGGGTAGCTATAGTTGCCTACAACATGATCATGTTAGATGTAGCCTGGGAATTCTAGGTCTTCTAACAAAAAAAATGTAGATTTCAACCTGGATATTCAATGATGTAATCAGATTTCACCTTGACCATTACATCGATGGCCATTGTTCATGGATTTGAAAAGTAGACATGATAATATTTTCCACTATTTTCAAATCCTTCTTGGAAAATATGGATTTCCTATCAAACAATGATTTTGACTGTGGCCGTCGAGTTAATGGTCGAGGTCAAATCTGGATTACACCATTATAGATAACCAGAGCAAAAATGTTTTTCTGAAACTTCTTTTTGAAAATGCATTTCTTGAAAGTTATTCCACTGGTTTCAAACTTTTGGAACACCCAGTATATACAACAGACAGTCATTTTATTGAATACTAAATGTTTGTCAGTAAGTCACGAAAAGTTTTGTTACCCATATATAACATATTTTTCGTAATTTCTATATGACAAATAGATCATTGGTTCAGCCTACGATAATATCTACCACAGTTATAGACAAAAATTTGGACATAAAATCCTGAAAACTACAGACACAATATCTTTATGCGATAACTATGCATGGTGGACCACGTAAAGGGCCGGTATTTTGGAATAATAAATCCAAATAAAAAAACGTGAATACAAATATATGAAACCAATCAAATAACCTAGGTTCGTCCTCCAATGTTCAAAATTTTTGTGGAACTACGAGTATATAAATTGACAACCTTTTCTGCCGCCGTCATTGAAATTGATCATTACCAATTTTGATTCATCTACCTCAAAACACTTACAAGTGATAATTCATTCGATCGTACAAATCATACATAAATCTCCACTTTTGCCACGCAAAAAATCACTTATTTTTAAATTTTTTCGCTTACAACTGGACACATAAATATCAGTTTTCAAATTTCTCAACTGAGTATGTTTCCATATTTAATGTGAACGTAACATTTTCATGGACAAATTTGCACTGTTTCAGGTTTGGAAGAAAGATGCCTTTGATTTTTGAAGTACTACTTCAGGCTACAACAGGACTTTTAACAGCTTTTGTACCTTGGTTTTGGGCATTCATGATTCTTAGGTTTTTAGCAGCAGCTGCTACTGGAGGAACAATGATTACTAGTTTCGTTTTGATAATGGAAATTGTTGGTGAGACACTTTCTTCATATTAGGACCAACAATGTTCACGACAACCATTGAAAATATTAATTGAGAATAAAGTGAAAACTTAAGCAATAAGAAATATTTCATGAAAATCAACATTTTGCTGAAATGTTTTGCGGTTAATTTGATCTTGAATTAGCCTATTAGCCCTCATATATAGCACCTACAAATACTAGACCTCGATATCAAAAAATGGATAGAACCTGATGATACCTACTCCAAGTTTTTGTTTATAGACCGAGCTCTGGGGGGAGTGAGTGTGCAAAATGTGAGGACCGAATTCCATCAATGAAATTCAGTTGAGAAAAGCTCATAGGTATATGAATAATCTCAATCTTGCCAATTGATTTTTTGGTCAATTTTTTTACAATTTATTACCAAAATCGAAGAATAAAGTTATAATAAAGTATAATGGCGAGATTAAGTCATAATTTACAGTTTATTGTAATTTTAGTATCGTATTTTCTTCTTTCAGCTGTTTTTTGATATTGAGCAGCATGTTTGAATTTGGTTCTATAACTGAATCATTTATATTTTCACAAAATGAACAGCAAAGCTCATTCGGTCTTTTTCTATTCAAATTTATTTTGTTAAAAAACGTAAAAAATGTCGGTTCATGGCTCTACTTAAAGTAGAGCCTGAATAACTTTTGGTACAATGATTTGAAAGGAAAATAAAAAACCACGTCAACCATAGTATACAGGAGGGCGCATTTTGACATATTCACAATTTATTTTACTTTCCCTATCGCACCCCCAGAGCATGTCACCAATTTTTTTGAATGGACCATCCTATATTGTTTCGCATTATCAGATTATCCATGATGAGCAAATTTCAACAAAGTATGAAATATATGGTCTGANAAACACTGAACGTCAGTGGGTCGCAGTTGGCCGCATCATTTTGAGTTAAATTTAAAGCACAAACAAGTGCCGAAGTTAAACTTCATTGAAACTTTTCGAAAAAAAAAGTTTCCTATATGGTGCGCACTTTAATGGTGACACTGTATGGTTCATCGCTCACAAGTAATTTTGGCGAAATTGGGAACAAGTGTAAATCGTTGTATTCATGCCACGTGCCACTATATGGGTGTCTGCAATATTCTGTGTAATGCCCGTTGTAAGTAGTCTCACTGTGATTTGAAAGTGCATATAGATTATAACGACAAGGAGCCACTCTCGTAAACAGGTATCATTTTCCGGTGATTGGACGTCTAATAATATCTACATAATTATTAAAAAGAAAACCACCTCTGAGCTCGTACACCCAAAGCAGTATGTTAAATTTAATATTTTTGAAAATTTATCTGAAAGTGCACTCCTGAAATGGTTTTCGAGTCATTCACATTGATGAATGATGATGTTTTCAGTTAAATTATTCATCATTTTCTGAGTTATGAATTTCGGTAAATAATTCGGAGTTGGTAAAATTGAATTTTTTCGAAAGTAGTAGTATCGATTATATTCGTATTCCATTCCGTCACTAAAAATTCCTTCCGAATAGTTATTTCTGTCAAAATTATAAGTATGTCAAGAAGTGAAGGTGGTCAGAGGGCGGTTAAAAGGATAGAAATAAGAAAGCTCGAAATACATCAATTCATATTTTCAAAAGTATTCGTGATGAAATTCCTTCTCCTCTTTATCCATCCTAAAATGGGTTTTGTCTCCCTAAAGTTTTCAAGTAAAATGGAAGACTTGTGTGATTCCTCGTTTGATAAATATTTTTCTTATTTGGTTTATCGTTCATCCAGAAAACTGCATGCAAAACATAATAATTGACCTATGACTTGTAAAGTCAAATATGCCGTATAATCAATATACTTCAAAATAATTTGTTAAATGAGTGTCAGTTATATACAGGGCTTTTCATGATGAGCGTTAATTAGCCGTTTCTGGCAAAGTATTCAACGGATCAACCTGAAAATTCCACAGTATGCATAAGTCAANTTAAAGATATGTTTGAATTTAGATGCCTGGATTTGTTTTTCCAAGTGACTCATGAATGATTAGGCAAGTAGAGAGTGGCCAAATTTTTGTGAGTAGATTTTGTTATTGAACTCCAGGTAATTTTGTTCCATGTATAACCTAGTTAAATTATTAATTGCCTGGGTAATCATTGGGGTGCTGTTGTTATGTTGTAACAGTGGATGGTATCTCTAACTTGAGTGTCATATAGGTCAAATTCTACATTATGGAGTCAACAAGTCAGTTGAGAGTTCAATACCTTGATATAATAGTGGAGTATATTCCGCTTATAGTAGGTAGATGTTCTTTAGCTTTTGATCCAGCCATACTGAATGGCTATTCACCGATGATTTTACCTGTCTATAATGAGGTTCAACACTTTTCTTCTTGCATACACTGTTGAACCAAATACTCTGGGAGGTGACTCTTAATCGTGACTCTTAATGCGATGACTGCAATGCCTTATATATAGGCCAGACTGGCCGGAGTTTCAACCAGAGATTTGACGAGAATTTGAGAAGTAATAGATTGAATAAACAACTACTCTAATCATATCATAGAAAACACTCACGATTCCACACAATATTCGGAAATTCTACACATTCAACGATTCTAAAACTAAATATATCGGAATCTAAAGAAATCAAAAAACATCTTGCAAATAAATGCCCCTCGATACCTGTTTCTACCGAGCCATGCAACTTTTATATTTAAGGAGATTTGACGTACGATTGTTTCATCGTCCGTATTTGTGTTACACAAATTAAAGAAATGCGAAGATAGCACAGATAAATGTTTATTGCATCTGTTCGATACAAAGGTTTAACTAAGCTAGTTCAGTTTATAACTCTCTCAGGAGATGACACAGTGTGTCCAAACAGCTGTTAGCAATTACCTAATGTTCTGTGAATTGTGAAGTATTATTTTCACCCTACCCATTCAGAAAAATTATATTTGAACAATTAGACAAAAAATTAATCTTGAGTATAAAATTGGAAACACTAGTAAGTAAATAAAATAAATTTTTGTCACAGAAAATGAAAAAGAATTATTAAAATCAATCGAATAAGTCATCGGTCATCGATATGTAAATAATGAAAAGGAAGATGAATCAGCTCTGAAGATGATTGTGGATATTAACAATCGAAATGTCGTGAAGTAGTTTGACTTGATTTATTTTTTTTTCTTGGGTGTCAACGGCATCAACTGTTGTGGTGATTATCCACGTGTTCAGGGTAGGCATTTCAATTTTAATAATTTCCTGATCCACCTAGGGACCATCACAGCTATTTCACAGCCAGTCAGCCATGTAACGTTGCAAAATCATCCCAATTTGAAATAGTTGAATTCTCTCGACAAAAATATTTGGCCGAGGTGATTAAGTATCTCAGTTTTTATTGTTTACATATTATTAATTGTTTAACATCATTTTTATATTTCTTTTCTCAACCATACTAAACTTGCATAATAGTAGGCACTGAATTCTCAGAAATATTAATGCATTAAAACATATAACATAAATGAAATAGCTCATCGGGATATTTCGGTCTTGGTGTTTTTGATATTTTCAACCATTCCTTCACACAATTTCAATTTTCAGTTCTCATAGAATTCAAAAATGGTAACGCTTATAACATTCACAGCAATTTCTGTTAGGACACATAAGAAATTAGATCTGAAGAGGTTGCAGTATTTGTCACATTACCACTTAAAACCTACCGCCTCAGTATCGCTGGTCTTAAAATTCAATTTTTCAAACGATTTCTCAAGTATTCCTCAAATAATTCGAATAGATTCTTCAATCCATATGTAAATAACTAAAAAACCACGAGAACAGACATCATGCTCCTCAACGCCCTCTTGTGGCAAGGCTTTACGTAGTCTCCCCCATTAGGCCATGACCGCGAATATTCAAAAACACTTTGAAAGGAAAACAAAAGTTTTAAGGTCTCAATGGACCATCAGTTCCCTCACACCCCCATACGACTGAGAGGAATGAAATTTGAACTGGCTAAACCCAATAACCATTGAGGTTATCCGGATATACATCCAGTGGGGTCCAATGACTAATGGACCGTATGGATGGATGGATGCATCGTATTCGGGTCAGAAGGTCACACGGTTCACAGATTGGACATAAGTTTTGCAAGAACAATTTTCAATCTTGTTTTCAAGGTGTAAATAAAGGGTTGATCGAATGGATTTTTGTCGTTTTCCAACATTCAAAGTTGAGATTTCAGTTGAATATTATTTGGTCCGTTGAGTCAAATTTTATCTCATTTTGGAGTTCATTCATTCCGGACTTTGTTTTATTTTTTGTGAAACGCAAGTGAGAAAAAGGAGACTGTCCCACAAAAAATAAAATGATGTAAATGCACCCTAAACCATATTTACAAGTGTGAAACAAAAATAATGAAAGAAAAAAAAAAAGAAATAAAAATTTAATGTTTGGTAATGAACCAACCGCTGTTGTAAAGTGGCGTATTAAATGGCATCGTGTACGATGATTTCCTTGTTACTCGATATATCAATCAGTTATACGAATGTTTCAATCTTTTACTAAATGGTTTTTACGGAGCATTGCCAGTTAAAAAATTTAATGTCTACAAATCAAATTAGTTTTTATGGAACAATTAAACTGGCCCACAGAGCTTCCCTCTCAAATTTCGCTCTCTTTTTCGTCCTCTCTCTCTTCTCTCACCCTCTCATCTCGTCCGGTGCTGAATAATTTTTGTAGACCAGTTGCGAAGCTTCTATCATTTACATGTTTTCTGAATAAACTTATGTGTTTTCAAAAATCGAAAAATCTGTCGATTACTAACAGTCTGATATTTTTTTATTTTTGGGAAATTTCAAAATCAAAAAATTGATCAGTTTGAAAATCGGCTCAGTCTGTCAAATTTATCTGAAAAGATTACCTAGTAAGATATCTCATCATGGACATAAATACTTACCTACTGTCATCAGATCAGATCTTTGTGATTTCCTTATTCATATAAGCTGTCTGTTCAAAAAATAAGGTGAATATTCATTTTTCTCAAAAAATATATATTTATTCGTCAATTTTAATTTTTTCCACTTCAAAGTAAATAGTCCCCCTCAGATACAATACACTTTTTCCAATCCTCGAAGCAGTTCTGATATGCACATTTTGATATGTCTTTGAGCTCTCCCAGGGATTCGATTTTCATCTCCTCAATCTTCACAAAACGCCGTCTTTTCATAGGTTTCTTCAATCTTAGGAAAAATAAAAAGGCGCAGGGGGGCAAATCTGGTGAATACAGTGGCTGAGGCATGATTGTGGTATTGCTTTTGGCTAAAAACAAGCAATGATGAGTGAGAGTAGGTGCATTA